TATTATTATTTTAAATATATTTAAATTCCCCACGAAATTATTTAGTTATAAATAATTATGGAAAGGAATGATTTTAATAATTTTTATTTAAATAAAATAAAATAAAATGTTTTATTAGCAGTAAAATATTATTTTATTAACATTTAACAATTATTTAATAATAATAAATTTAATATATTTATTTATTTATTTTTTTCTTTACATAAACTATAAAGTTTGTTCAACAAAGATAATTTTTTTTTTTTTCGATTTTTTTTTTCTCGAAAAGCTTCGATATATATATTTATTTATATATATATATTGTATAATTTATGGCACAATTAAATACACAATTATTATATTTTAATAATATATTAGTATATGATGGTGTGTTTTCGGTATTTAAAAAAAAAAAATTGTTTTGTTTCATGTCGTCACAATTGAATCAGCGCGAATGATAATAATAATTAAACAAATAAATTTTTTTTCTTTTTTTTGTACTTAAATTTGATATTTTTTTAAAATTTTCACGCAGCAAAACAAAAAATAAAAAGAAAAATTCTAATAAGTTACGGTTATTATTATTATTATTAGGAACGTGGGGGTTGGGGGGTAATATTTCCATATAACATCGTTGATAATTTTTTTTTTAAAATATGACATTTAATAAAAGGGTAGTAGTAGTAGTAGTAGTAGTGGTAACACAAATAAAACACATTTAAAACATTAATTACATACTAAAGATATGTATTATTATCATTATTATTATTAGATGTTTTTTTTTTTAAATGTTAAAAGGTATGATGATGATGACAATAATAATTAAAATTTGTTTACCGTCGTTGTATTTGTTATTATTATTATTATTATTTATTTCGATACATCGAATTGAAAAATGTTTAGAAAACAAAAAAATTATTATTTAAATTACGCGCCCAAAAAAAATTTACCTTTGTGTTAACATCACGTGATTAAAATTTTTTACAAAACGTATTATAAAAAAATATAAAAAATTTTACGAAATGAAAACATTTTTAAAAATTTGAAATTTGGATCGGACCGACAAATTAAAAAAAAAAAAAAAAAAGGAAAATTTAATGTTTTGATGACGTCAAAAAGAAAAATCAAAAACTTCCATCGAAGCAGAAATATCGTCGTCTGCTGTACAACAATCTAAAAATTCTTCGATCGTAACAACTCCATCTTGATTAATATCCATTTTCTAGTACGATAATTAAATAAATTAATGAATTAATTAACTACGTAATAATTAATAATAACAATGATAATAATAATGATAATTTATTTACATTAAATATTTTATCAACTTTTCCTTTGAGCGTCGCTTCGTCAATGGGTTCAATGTGTTTTCCCATAAGATCATAAATGGCCGTTATTATATCCGTCATTTCTTCCTTTGTTATGCATCCATCTCCGTTTATATCGTATAACGAAAACGTCCATTTTAATTTTTCTTCTAGTGTGCCACGTGAAAGTATGGAAAGGCCGGTAACGAAATCCTTAAAACAAAATTATTATTATTATTATTATTATCGTTTGTTATTTTTTTTTAATTGGAAAGGAAAAACTTTCGAGAATGTACTTTTAACAAAGAATCATCATCATCATTTACTCTTTCTATTTTTTTAATTTGTAACTTCTTAATGGAGGGGGTTAGGGAAAGGGAAAAGAGGAGAGAAGGGAGGGGAAAATCGAGAAAAAAAAAATCAATGAAGTGTGAACCTTAAGATAATATTTATCAAACTCTGACTGATGATGGTCCCTTCGCTAATAATAATAATATTTATTATAAATCTAACGGAAATAAATGAAAATGTTTATAAATAAATAATGAAAATTTTGACTCTTTTTTTTTCGTTTTTTAAATTGTAAATTAAATAAATTAAATAATAATAATAATAATGATAATTATAAAATCATCGTCGTCACGTTTTAATTAAGTTACAAAAGTTGTAATTTTCGAGGCGGTTTTGATTTAATAAAAACCGCCTCGAAAATTATTAAAATAAAAAAAATTATTATTATTATTATTATTAGAATAATTCGAGAGTTTAATCGTGCGACGCCATTTTTATTTTTTTTTATTTATTTTTATATTCGTCCCCGTTATTATTAAATTTTATTATTATTATTTTTTTTTTAACACAAAAAAGGCGTTGATTCAAAATGTCGCGAATTTTCATTTTTCCTTTTTCAAAACACAAAAAAACCGGAAACGATTGGTAACGATTACGTCATAATCAGGTGAAAATTTTATTTATTTATTTTTTATTGGAATTTCAATTTAAAAATAAAATAATTTATGTATCCCGTAATTTATTTTTATTTTCGGCAAATAATTTTAATTATTATTATCATTATTATTATTATTATTATTTATTTCGAAAGCAGAAGAAATAATAATAATGATAAAAAGCATTAATGCGAGTAAAAAAAAGGAAAAAAAAGTAAGGGGGGAGGGAAAATAAGTAAAAATCTTAAGGAAAACATAAAAATTATTAAAAAGTAATATTAATAATAATGATAATAATAATAATAATAATGTTTAGCTTGAGAAAAAAAAAAATTATTTAACAGACGGTTAAAAGCGGAAACGGAAGACAGGAAAGGAAAAAAAAAGAAATTTTTTTTTACCTTTTTATTTTATTTTATTTTACGTTTTACGTGTAAAACGGTTAAAAACATTTTTCCGGGAGGATTTTCCGAACCCCCCCTTTCCCTCTTCTCGTTCCCTTCCTCCTCCCTCCCCTCCGTTTTTTTTTTTTTTCATAAAATATAACTTTGGAAAGCTTTTTTTTAACCGGATTTGAAAATTTGAGAGTTGAATTAATTTATTGATGCAAAGGAAAGAAAGAAAAAAAAAAAAAAAAAAAAAAAGTTTATAAATTTAAAATTTTCTTCCTACTTTTTTTTTTTTAATTTTACATAAAAAAAACGAAATTCTAGAACATTCGACGATCGGTTATATATACTTTTTTTTAATATAAATTTAAAAACAACAACAAACAATCTCGTTTGTTTTCCTCTTTTTTTTTTAAAAAAAACATTTTATTAACTTTTATTTTATTTTATTTCTTCCCCCAACCCCTACCCCGAATAATTACAAAGTTTATAAATTTAATTAATGCTTACAATAATAATAATAATAATAATAATAATAATAATAATAATAATAATGACGTTAACGAACAAACGAACTCTTATTATAATAATAAAAAAGAAAAGTTTTACGATAAAATTTTACAAAAAAAAAAAAAAAAACATCTATAATTTTTCTCGTTAGCTATATTTTTTTTATAGAGTTAATAACGCTATAAAAAATAATAATAATGATGATAATAATAATAATAATAATTTACCTCAAAACTTAAAATTCCACTTCGATTTCTATCGAGCGTGCTAAACACGTAGTGAGCATATTGACTCGCATTTGCTGTAATTAAATCAAATATTAATTAATTAATTTATTTTCTTTCACGATGATAATGATGATGATGATGATGATGATGACGATTTAATAAGTTTTATTATTATTATTACTAAAATATATACGTGAGTAAAACAACAAATGTAAAGAAATAAATTGTTTGTTTGTTTTGTGTTCGGACAATTTTCTTTTCTTCTTTCATTTATAAAATTTTTTTAATTTTTCTAACATAATGAAAACTTTTTGTTATGTTTTTGTGTTTTTGTTGTGTTTGTGGGTGTTTTAATTAGTTTTGGACAACAAAACAAAAAGTTTATTTAATAATAATAATAATAATGTTGTTGTATAGAAAAAGGAAAAATATTAAAATTGTTTAATTATTATTTATTTAGTTTATTTAAATTTTTTTTTCGGGGAGGAGGGGAGGCGGGGAGTATAGAATTGAAATTTTTGTGATAACGTTTTGAAAAGATGAAAAGAGAGAGAGAGTGAGAGTGAAAGAGAGAGAGAGAGAAAGAGTGAGAGAATGAAAAGAAATAATAAGAGTTAGATAAAATTTATTTATATATATATATATAATCTGGTAAAATTCAAAACTCAATTTTTTTATATAAATAAATTTTTAATTTACCAAAAAAAGAAAAAAGGAAAACTTTTTTCTTTTTGTTTGAAAAAGGAAAAAAAGGAAAGGAAAAAAAGGAAAAAAGGTAATAAAACTTTTTTTTTGGAATTAAATGATAAAAAAAAGGTTGTTTACAAAATTTTTAATCTTTATTAAAAAAAAAATAAAAATAACGTATTTAATGAAAATAATAATAATAATAATAATAATAATGATAACCATAAAACAAATAAGGGGAAAAAAAAGTTTGTTTTTGTTTATTGAAAAGCAGAAGATGAAAAATAAAAGAAAGGGAAAAAAAAGGAAAATTTTTTATTTTTTTGAGTTAATGAAACAGTTAAAATAAAATTTTTTTTAAAAAATCAAATAAAATTCAATGAAAGGAAAACAAAACTTTTTTTGGGGGTTGAGGGGGAGGAGGAAAGAGTACATTTTAAAAAAATAATAATAATAATAATAATTTAAACTATAAAAAATTAACTTTTGAAAAAAAAATAAAAAAAATTTTTCATTTTATTATCGGCCATCTTTTTTTTTTTTTCATCTACGCAATTATTCTTTCTTTATTGCAATTTTTTTAACATCTGATTAAGGACTTTTTTTATTAATGAGGTTCATTTTTTTAAGAAAAAGAAAAAAGAAAAACCTTTTCTAAAAACTTTTCTTCATCATTTATCCCTCCCCCTCCCTCTTTTTTGTCAATCCAAAGAAGACATAATCAATCATTTATGATAAATTAATTTTTTTTTTTTAGACGATAAGTTAAACAATAAAAAAAAAAATGTTTTCGGTTATTTATTAACAACAAAACGATTAATAAATATTTATTAAATCTTTTGTTTTTTTTTTTAAATAAATTAAGTCAATATGTTACGCGTCTTCTGCTGGCACTTATTTCTACTCCCCCTCCTCCCTTCTTTTTTTATTGTTTTGGAAACTTTTGGCAAGTTTTTTTGTTTATGTTTTTATGAATAAAAACTTACCCCCCTGAGGGAAAAACTGGGAATAAATCCCTTTGAATGTTTCCTCTCTCACTACTCCTGTAGGACATTCTGCTTTGAATCCTCTATATATTCTTTTTATTTCCGATTCTGAAAATTTTGTTGCTTGACAAAGTGATTTTAAACTATCAGGTCTATACCTGGGTGGACTTTCTGATTCTTCAAAATCTAAATCTGTTTAACAAAAAAAACAAAAATATTAATAATAATAATAATTGTTTTTGTTTTTTGTACCACTACTACTACTACTACCCAAAGCTGTTTTAACTCCAGTCCATGTTGATTTAACAATAGCAAGTAATCGCCTATATACAGAATAATTTTGGCGACGTTTTCGCCTTGAAGGTACGTTGTTTGTTACTATGCCTCCATGCATTTCTCTCTCGTATATTTCGATGTCATTTTGACTGGATTCGCCAACGTCAAAAACCCACCAATCGGTATCTTCTTCTCTTATTTTTATTATATAAGGTCGTAATAATAATGATTGTTTTTTTTTATTGTTGTTTGTTTCGGTTGCTGTTGTTGTTGTTGTTGCGAATGGTGAGACTCGGGATTTCGTCCAAAAACCTTTTCCATTCCATATTTGTTGTATACCTTGTAGACTCCCGATTTTGACAAATTTTTTTTTAACATTAAACGATCGAAAACTATTAATGTTTTTTTTTTATTTGAAAACGTTTTATACGGTTGAATGTTTATAATACTGTAATAATTTTAATAATAATAATAATAATAATTTTTTTATTATCATCTATTTTACGTCATACGTATTTCTCTCCCCATTTTATTTACAAAAAAAATTTCCCGTCTGGAAATTCGATATCTATCGAGAACGACTGGATAAATATTACCGAGTTCTATCGTTTATTTATTTATTTATTTATTATTAAAAATTATTTATCATTTTATTGCAAAAGAAAAAAAAATTATTAATCAATAATATTCGTTCGATAGTCACGCGATTATCGTCACACTCAACTCATGTTATTTAAATTTAACACGTATTATTATTATTATTATTTAATTCGCTTTATAATCTTACTCTTCGTGTCACGTGACAAATAAATATTTTAATCCATCAAATGTCGTCTGGTCAAAGGGTGGCGGTGGTGGTGGTGGTAATGGTGTACATATGCAAAGTAATTTCAATTGTAATTGAATTAACTTAAAATTACACTTTAATTAACTTTTTATATCCTTTCAAATTATTAATTAATTTAATTAATTAATTTTTTTTTTTAATAATATTTTGACCGGAAGGGAGACCTGAGGAGAAGGTGATGGTGAGGGGTAGATGGGTAAAGGTTTCGTTTTTTTTTTTTTTTTGGGTGTGTTCAAAAAGTAAAAAAAAAAAAAATTCTTTTGTTAAAAGTTTAATACTTTAATTAATTTTATTATTTATTATTATTATTATTATTATTATTTATTTATTTTTAAAAAAAATGTTTTATTACTTTTATGGAAATATTATTTATTTATTTATTTATTTTTAAAGAATTAAAATAAATAAATAAATAAAAAGAGAAAAAAAGGTCACTCATTTTTGGCTTGCATGTTATAATCCATCCCTTTCTCTCTCTCTCTCTCTCTCTCTTTCTCTCACGCACATTTTCTTACACCCTCAAATATTTCCCCCCCCCCTCTCTCTCTCTCTTAGCTTTATATCCCCGCCCTTTTTATACAACAACAATTTATTGTGATTTATTTTTATTTTTTTTAATAATAATCAATGGATACGAATTTTCCTCTCATTTATTTTTAATGGAAAATAATTCCAATAAAAATAAAAAAAAAAAGGAAAATTTTTTTTTCTTCTCTCTTTCTCTTCTTCTTCCATTTTTTTATTTTTTTTAAAATATGCAAATTTCATTTAAATTTAAATTTTATTCTGCTTTTGAGCTTTTCCTCCCCTCCCACACCCTCTTTTAGTTTCTCTTTAAAAAAAAAAAAAAATTTTATTTATTTTCACATTTACTCACTCACTCACTCGTTTGCTCATTTCAATTTATTAATAATTAATATAATATTACCAAAATATCTTATCAGTATGGATAATTTCAAATAATAATAATCGATCTATCGATCAATCGATAATTTAACCCCACCCCCCAAAAAATAAAAAATAAAAAAAATAAATTGTTTCGTAATTTCAAAAAAAAAAAAAAAAAAAATTTAAAAAGTTGAAAAATTTTTTTTTCCTTTTCGTTTCTTTATTAATATTATTATTAAAATGCAGACGATTTTTTTTTTGTTTAAACTCAAAAGGTATTATTAAATATATTTTAAAAAAATAGAAACAATTTTTTTTTTTTTTTCTAAAAAGTTTTCTAAATGATTCATTTTCTAAATTCTATATAATTATCATTTATTTGACTAACGTAGTAGTAATCAATTATTTTTATTTATATTTATATTTAAAAAAAAGTATATAAAAGTGATGAAAAAACTTGGGGAAGGGGGAGGGAGGGGGTGAGGGGGAAAGTCAAAAAAGAAATAAAAAGTAAATAAAAAAAATATATATATATATATATAAATTGTAAGAAAATTCCAGAAAGAAAATGAAGAGAAAAAAAAAATAAAATGGAAGAAAAAAAGTGAATTTGTTTTTCTTTCTGTTATAAATTGAAAATAAAAATTAGTTTGAGGGAAACAAAAAAAAAGGAAAATAAATTTTAAAACGGAAAAGGAGAAAAACTACAACCAAATACCAAAAGCCAAATAGTAAAACCTCACGAAAAAGAAAAAGATGGAAGGTTTTCTTTTTTTATCTCTCTCCCTTACGTACGACATTTTTACAAAATCATCTTCCCACAAATTTTTTATATTCTCCCCCCTTCCACCCCACCCACAAATTGCAAAACCTTTTCCTTTTTTCCTTTTTTTTCTTTATCTTTTTTTTTTTTTTCTATAGTTTCCTTTTCTTCCCTAACCTTATCTCTCTCTTTTTTTTCCTTTATCAATTCCCTATCTCCCTTGTTTTTTTTTTTTTTACTCGTGACACATTGACAACTCAATTGTAGTTGTACTACGGGGGGAAAGGGGAAAGGGAAGGGGCAAAAACTACGCGCAACCTTTCCCCCATTCCCCTCTCTTCACTTTTCTTCTTCTTCCTTATTTTATGCTTTGTTTGAATTTTTCCAAAAAAAACTTTTCTTAATTTCTAACCAAAAAATTTTATTTTTTTTAT